TCTAGGGCCATTGAAAATGCCTTCATTGATTTCTTGAAAATAGTTGTGATCGTGTTTATAATTGATTTGGATAAAAAAGATGTTGAATGAAAGGAAGGTTATCATCATGCCTCCAATCTTGGGACATATAACAATTATCATATTTAGGAGCGCTAAAAACATTACCATATACGAGACCGAAGCGCTTAATTCCAAATTACAGAATAAAAAGAGAAAACAAAAACTACATAGACTCTTAATCAAATAGGTAATTCGCATTATGTTGCTAAGAGAAGATATTATGTGTTAAGGGCTTTTGACTGGGGCAATACATTTTAGTTCTCTGATGGGACGTGGAATCTTGTTCCACGTTTCCGACGCAGCCACTGTCAAAAGTATCAATTGCAACGATAATAATGAAAACAAAACAAAGCTAACGAAAATATGAACACAACATATTTAACGCACGATATCAATTGAAGTACCCCCGCTTCTATACTCGTAAATGCCAATATTCCCTTAATATTATGATTTTAAATAATTGTGCTGTTGTTGTAATCAAACTCATTTATATACTCTGTTCAAAGAAATGTCATAACTTGTTTATTCTAATAAGAAATTGCATTATTGGAACCTACTGTTTTGTGTGAAAGCTTGTAAATACCGAGGTCATTTATTTACCTGCCAACAGTCTAGTTACGCTTTATGTATACTTTCTTTTTCACAACGTTAAACAATGTACAGGGACGGATCCGGGGGAGGGGGGAGGGGGCACGTCCCCCCCCCCCCCCCCCCGGGCCAAACTAAAATAATAATGCAAAATTAGTGTACATTCCTACCCTAACCCACCCCCCCCCCCCCCAACTAAGCGAATTTTTGGCCGGCGCGATTTTTAATTATTGGAGACCAAAAAGAAAAAAAATGTGCTCTTAACCCCCCCCCCCCCCCGCTTATTCAGCGGCTGGCTCAGACGTTGCGATTGTTTCGGGACCAACAAAAAAAAGATGTGCTCTTACCCCCACCCCCCCCCCCCCCCCGCATATTTAACGGCTGGCTGAGTCGCTGCGATTTAAAAAAGATATATATATGTCCTCTTAACCCCCCCCCCCCCCCCCCGCTTATTCAGCGGCTGGCTCAGACGTTGCGATTGTTTTGGGACAAAAAAATATATTAAAAAATGTGCTCTTACCCCCCACCCACCCCCCCCCCCCCCTCCGCTTATTATATTCCCCTCGGGAAGATATTCCTGGATCCGCCCCTGATGTAAATTGTATTATATTATTGAATGGTGAATTTGTATATCTGATTTCTTGTCATAATTACTGTTCTTTTGGAAATTTAAAAAAAAAAATGAAACTGAAACTGAAGCTGAAACTGTCTGGACAGTTCTCTGACGTATACGCGCCAGCTTAATACGCACTTGTCTAGCTATAATATGTACTTTGTACAACATAATTGGGCACAAATACACACGGGCAGGGGAACTAGTGGATTTGTGGCCAGGGTACACGGAATAGTTGAGTTTTGCTGCAGAGGGCGCTATAAAAAAATTATGTTTGTGTGTGAGATAATGAAAAAAGTGGGAGTCAAATTTGAATGAACATACAATTTAAATGACAAAATCATCTTTGTTTGATTACAATCGGTTCAGAGACGGCTGAGGAAAAACCATGCACTTTTAATGCATTTGCGGTCTGCAACAAGAACTCAACTATCCCTTGAAAACGACCAGAATCTCGTTTATATATCAATAGTAGTACAGGTAGTGTTGCGCCTATGTGTTATCATTACTATAGTCTCAAATAATAAAGCAGAATAACAGAAAGAAATAATTATGTCGTTAAAAATGAATTCAACAATAAAGGAACATAATTAAGTGGTCACAATCTTGATTTATTTCTATAGGCCTATATTTACCTTTATGTTTATCATCTTGAGTATGTACATGTTCTGCGCGATTGAGAGAAAGAGTGGGAAGGTAAAAGAGATAATAGACGGAAGCAGAAAGAGAGAGAGAGAGTGGGAGATGAGAGTGAGGGAGAGCGAGATAGAGAGGAAGAAAGAAGGAGAAAGAGAGCGAGAGAGAAGGGAAAGAGGAAAGGAAATGCGAGAGAGAGAGAGAGAGAGAGGACGATGAGAGTGAGAGAGAGCGAGATAGAGAAGAAGAAAGAAGGAGAGAGAAGGAGATCGAGAGAGAAGGAAATGGGGAAGAAGGAAGGAAATGAGAGAGAGAGAGAGAGAAAGAGAGAGAGAGAGAGCGGGAGAGAGTAAGGGTCCGGGGCAGGCAAAATGGAAAGAGAAAAGATATACAGAGATAGATAACAGGGTTTGGGATAAGGATGTAGGAGAGAAACAGAGAGAATGATAGCGGTTCATTAGGGACATTGTCCAAGCCAGTATAAATACATTTTTGTTTAACATAGACAATTCATGTACATTTTGTGGAAGCTTGAATTTTCTAGTGACATTTCAGGAATTTCTGCTACTTGATGTGCTGAGGTGATTGTTTCAAAACTGGCTTTTAAAAAAAAATATTATGGTCTTTTCTGTTAATGCATTACAAAATGATACAGAAATTATATCGGCACATACTATCAACAATTTGATACATACGACACAATCAAGAGCGTTAACTGCGCCTTTCTGAATGACGGATTCATCACTACATGTACACAATCACAACTTATTTTGAAATCAAAAACAGATGATTCGACTTCAGACAGGCTAAAACAGATTAAAGAAATTGTAAAGGCTATCTATAGGTTTTATAGTAAATTCTGGAAAAGTATGGAATGAAACATAAATAAGTGAATTTACATACAATCAATCCAGTAAGTCTTCAATGACTAATTATAATGATTTGCCTACATTGCATGAGATTAGTTTTGAAACTGGCCGGTTCTTATAATTTCCATTACAATAATTGTTGGCGGTGGTGGTTATTTTACCTGACTGCTAAGAAAGCACAAAAGATTGTAAGTAAGCAACCAGACGGTCGACGGCTTTATGTCCTCTCCGAGGGACCTGGTAATGGGGATTAATGCCTTACCAAAGGGCACTAGCACATCGCCTTGGTTTCGAACCCGGGTCACCGAATTACTAGATCACTGCTCTACCGACGTAGCTATCGCGCCTCCTCATAATGCTTCAATCCACTAAAGATGGCGTTATCAACGAACTCGGTCATACGAATTCGGGTATCACGTCATCTTCGCATGTATGATGATATAAATTAGATTTGACTTTGTAAACGAAAAACACGAGGGTCGTTCGTGATTACGTCGTAGTCCATTGACCAAATTGTTAAATAAAGTATTCATGTCATTTGTATCATTGGCTTGATTTACTTCAAGCTTCCACCATTTGTTTTTAATTTATTTTCCTTCTTTCATGCAATTGAACGTATTTTCAATCCTTTAATCCGAGTATATACATTATTAAGAAAGATCAACTTTTATTTTGTAGGCATGGATAAGAATCAATTAACGATATTGTACACATTATCAAGCTCTTGTTATAAGTGTTCTCATGTGATCAACCAAGTTGTTATTGATCATTGATAATGTTATCAACTACTTATTTCTCAATAAATGTTTACACGATAGATATTCAGATTATTAAATGTAATTTAAACGAGAAAAATCATTAACTTATTTATCAGTCAATTATGTTATCATTTATCTACCAAAGTCTTGAAATCATAATTTATACACGAGGAGTATTCATTGTTATCTGATTAAAATTGTAATAAAACTCCTTCATTGATTATTTACTGGGGTATTATGTCAAAGTAATGTTAATAAAACAATTTGATAGATTTACTATGAACTAAATTTATGGCATTTTTAAAATAATTGACTTGATTTCGACACAAATTGCATTGTTTTGCCTACACGTGTTCTAACTGTATTTTAGTGTAATTGAGGACGTGTTAGGTGTGTTTAAATTGGGTTTATAGATATTTATGAAGTAAGACCTCAAATCACCATAAGTGTGGTGTCATATAATGAATAATCATATAAAACCCTCAAGTTCATACAAATTGCTAGGATTCTGGGAATGGTAAGAAGAAAAGGGTCCATAAAAGAGAGAAACTAAGGGCGAGATAGGTAATGAAGTCTTAAGGCAACCCTTAATGCACACTGGACCCTATTTCATGCAATTGTTAACAATGGCAAGTTTTAATAACTGTTATAACCTTTGGAATCGTGGCATTTGATTGGCTAAGAGGAATTGTTTAAGAAAATCCTCCCTCCCTTGCCATTTCCATCTCTCTCTCTCTCTCTCTCTCTCTCTCTTTTCTCGCTCGCTCTCCCTTCTCCCCCACTCTCTCTCTCTCTCTCTCTCTCTCTTTCGCTCTTTCAATCAATCCCTTTTTTCTTTCTCCCTCGCTCTTTCTCTCATTTGTGTCTTCCTCTCTATCTCTCTCTTCCCCTCTCTGGCTTCCCCCATCTCCCCTACCTCACTATTTCTCATTCACTACCTTCTTTCTCTCTCTCTCTCTCTCTCTCTCTCTCTTTCTCTCGCTCTATCTCTCTCTCTCTCTCTCTTTCTCTCTCTCTATCTCTCTCTCTCTCTCTTTCTCTATCGCATAGTACATCGACATCCTCTGAAGGAGCGAGGTATACACATAAAGATATATTTAGAAAGAAATCAAGGTTGTAAATACTTCATTATAATCCTAGCTCTCCTTTATTGATAAATTGACTTCTAACAACATGTTTATTTCATTCTGTGCTTCTGCGTTATCGTTTTGGAACTACATTAATTAAACTATATAGGCGCAAACAATACTTGAAACTATATTAGACCAGATTGTTACTAGACATTTATTTTGAGTAGGGAGGGTTGTTTTTCAATTTAATTTGTTTTAGTTTTGTTTTTTGTTGTTGATTATTTCTCTGTTTCTTTTTTTTTTCATTGTTGCAATTAGTTGTTATATTAAGTTAAAATTGGCTAGTGTTCTTATGTTAATATTGCGATGCCGTTGATTTGACCCATGGGGAACCTTTGCCAGTGTTTTAGGAGGTGAAAGGCTTGTAGCAGAAGAAGGACTTATTTTCGTCGCAGTCGTAGTCGTTCCACTTTTGTCTGTCATAGTCACTGCTACCATAATTACGTGGAGACACACAGTCCTCTCCCCTGTCGTTGTTTGGTTCGCCGGACTGCCAGTGGTAGTAGTCGACGCTGGTCCCATCACTCCACTTAAATGAGCCTTCGTATTCCCTATCATTTAGGCCAATCCAATAGGCCTGCACGAGGGAAGCAACGGAATGAGTATTTTAAACAAAATTATTAGTATTTAAGTTTGTATTAAATGAACATCATTTGAACGTCGGTTCAAGTCTGTTTTCCACTTTTGAAAGTGAAAAGCAAGTGTACCCGCCTTTTTCTCGTCATTTCTATATCTTAAAATGTTTGTTGGACTTAATAAATGCCTTAAAACCATATATGATTGGGGAGGTGCACCACTCAAGCACCCCTCCCGCTATAAAACACCCTCTCTCCATCGATTGCGTATAACTGTCGTCGATGATACTCTTCAAAAGATTATAGACCCATCTACTTTCTTCCGAGCTGTAATTTATACTCACCCCCTTCGTATCTATCAAATTTTCCCGATCACATCACCACTCCCCTATAACGCTACGAAAAATGTACTTGTTTGCTCATCCTCTCTCCATCATTTGCGCAACTTTTCCATAGATTATAGATCCATCTACTTTCATCCGAGCTGTACATATCCCCAACCGAGATTTATTTTCTAAAATTTCTAAATCCCATCACCACTCTCCCATACAGCTACAAAAAAGGACACTAATACTCTCTTTTAAAAAAAGAGTGAATTTTTACTCTATTTTCACTTTCTTGAAAGTGACGTCAGGGATCATCTTGTTTAGGAGTGAAAATCGATTGATTTTAGAGTGCTCTCTAATAAGAAAAGAGTGAATGTTCACTCTATTTTCACTACATTTTCATCATCAGAGGAGTGACGTCCGTGATCACTCGATTTTTGTTAGAGAGTACTCACCCTGTTTCCGTCATCGGCGTAACTCACATCGGTGAAACTCTTCCAAAGGTCATAGACGTCTTCACTCTCCGCAGAGCTGTGGAAACTTACTAGATGCGCCCCCAGATCTTCGCACTCACGATTCGCATCGGACCATGTTTTCTTGTAGGAGCTGAAGTGGTAGCAGCGGTCGCCGACCTGCATGAACTTCTCAGGACAGCAGCCTTTGGCGAGGCATGCGATTGAGGCAAGGAGCAACAGGCTGATGGTGAAGTTTGAAGCCATGTTGCAAACCTGTAGTGGAGATAGAGAAAGAGAGAGAGAGAGAGAGAGAGGGGGGTGAGAGAGAGAGAGAAAAAAAAAGGTACATAGTGAGAGTTTAAAGCCACACCTCTTTTAATGACTGAATGTGTATTTATATTTCTTTTCCTTTAATATCGTGCTAATTTCGTTTTTTGAAGTTAACATTATTTGTGTATGTAAAGCGCGTTAAGCAATATTGTTTATTGCATGTTAACTTAAAGCTAATACAAAGTCTTGGTATTGGGTGATTAATTTGGTTCGAATGAACATAATGTTGGAAGGAAATGCGATTTCACAACATTTAATGGTCGTTGTCGCGGTTTAAATCGAGTCTAAAATGATGAGATTTGAAATAATACAATCTGTATGTTGTATAGCTCTATCTCAACTCTCAAGATTGATATTAAGACTTTAACACAATCGACCGATTTGCTATTCTCGTTTAGAAATTACATATCAGAAATACATATTATGAGATTTCATGGTCGCAGCTACCATGGAATGGCTTTAGGCGCTATTTGAAATTTACCAGGAGCACCGGTTGATTTTTTAAATCATTCAATTTCTCGAAGGCAGAAGTGTTTTAGGCTAAATTTTCTATTGCTTAAAATAGAACTACAGGGGCATCCAAATATATCAAAATTGCTACCGTTTTCGAATAGGAGCGATTCTCAGCGATAAAGATTGACATTTCCAGAGCAGTTTTCAATTTTGAAAGAGGAATATTTAATAAATTGTAATGAAAGCTAACATATAAATGATAAATATATACAAGTACTTGTATAACAGCTGGGTGTATTATCAATTATTCATACAGTCCATGAGATATTCGACATCTTTCTAATGAATGACTATAACAACTACCTACGTGATTCTATAGCTAAGGTATAATTATATTAGTTGTTATGATTTTAATATATGACAGGTTTGAAGAATTGTTGATAGGAAACCAAACTGCTGTGGAAATACTTGTCTAAATATATTATGTCATTGATACGTAGACTTTTCTTATTAAAATATCAATGTTGTTTCACAATTTAAAACTGAAAAACACTGGAACTATTTTCCCTTAAAGCTTGCAAAGTACCCTAGATTTTAAAAGATGGACCACACCCCCTTCCTCTTCTCTCTCTCTGTCTCTCTCTCTCTCTCTCTCTCACTCTCTCATTTCAAAAGTGTAGGAATTTTGTTCTACTTACACCAAAATCATTTGAAGAGCGGTTGAAAATATCAGCTTGTCTAGAATGAACCTTGGAATTAGTATGACATGTAAACGAGTTTAACGAATTTATCTTGATGGATTCATGTGAAATTGTGTCGGTTTTCCAGCTGTATCAACATCAGGCCAATATTAATATCACATTTTATCTAAGCTCTAATCAACAATCATACAGATGAACCGTGGTTTGAGTTTAAATTGTGATACTGACCTGAACAATAATTAACTAAGTGAGTAAATACACGATAAAGAAAGCCTTCAATCCCAAGCGCAAAATGTCAGATAAATTATTATAAAGGTTATTAAGTTGTTGCCTGATTTGGAAGACATCAATCCGGTTGCCCTCGTTGTTCCTAAAGGGGTAGTCCTACCTGATATTAAATTCGTTTTATCAGAAGCAGAATTTATGTTTGAGAAACAGGTCAGTGAAGTTTGAGGAACAGCCCCCCCCCCCCAAAAAAAAAAAAAAAAAAAAAAAAACATAAAATAATAATAATAATAAAAAAACAAATAAAAGAATTTTAAAAAATCTAACAAAAAAAAAAAAATGTATATATATATATATATATATATAATGCATTTTTGAAGGTGCAATTGAATACTAATTGGCAACTCTGTAACGTTTATTGCGAGCTTCACTCATTAAGAGATCACATTTGCCCTTAAGAAATTATTCGATGATACAACCCTGTAAGAAATAAACTATTCCGTCATCAATAACTAAGGAAATGGAACTATATTAAATTACCTGTACATAGCAAATTAAAGAGTAACTCGGAACATAAGTCACAGTGATGCCAATTTGTGATCAAATAATGACAACAATGACAAAGGAAAAATCATAGTTACCTATTTGTGATGGGATGTTGCTCAAAATTTTACGATTATGTTCTCCCATTTACTGCTTTAATGAAAACGAGCTTAATATTAAGGTGAAACAAGTCATTCGAGGACTCTAGTTTAAGTTTTATAAAGGTCACATTATTTCGGTCAAAGGGTAGTTAAATCTTGGAGTGACCTTCCTGCTAGGGGACTCTAGTTTAAGTTCTTCAAGAGGAGATGTCGCACTAGCAAAAAGTTACAGTCTTTCGGTCTAAAGTTAGTAATAATAATAATGATAATATTTAATTTTTATATAGCGCTTTCGGCTTGAGAAATCTAATTTAAGTATTATTAAAGGTAATATGTCCCATTTGCAGGTCCAAAAAATGAAAAGGTCAAATTCCAACGGCATTTGAAAGACAAAGCTTTATTTTAGAACTTTCCTTAAAACGAAAGGGTTTGAAAACGGCTCTTTTGTGGAAAATAACGACCAGTGTCGAATCGACAAAAGTAATTGCAATCGCTTAAGTACGTGATTGAGGTTAACTCTTTAAAAAAAGAAGCCCACCAGGAGACTTTTCTGAATGGGGAAAATATATATTGCTTGCTTTTTTTTCTTCCTACATACTCCTTCACACAAGATTGATTCAGTGGTACATGAGCATGCTGTAAACCATATCGATTTCGGACGCTCAAAATTAGAAAGATTGTGACTCAAATCCTCTTGCTGAAAATCACATAGACTTCCACCAAAATCCTTTGACGAGCGGTTGAAAATATTAGCTTGTGTAGAATGAATCTGGGAATGAGTATGACACGTAACCGAGTTTAAAGAAATAATCTTGATGGATTCATGTGAAATTGAGTAGTTCTTCCAGGTGTATCGACATCAAGCCAATATTAATATCACATTTTATCTAAGCTCTAATCAATGATCATACAGATGAACCGTGGTTTGAGTTTAAATTGTGATACTGACCTGAACAATATTTAATTAGGTGATTAAATAGACGATACAAAAAAAAACTCCAATCCCCAGCGCACTGTCATCCCCCCCCCCCCCCCCCACCGGGATCGACACCCATTGACGCCACCGCCGCACAGTGGGCCAGGGAGGAACCAAAGTGCGCCAAAACTCTTTGTTGGTGATTAATTTTGTTTAATTGTTTTCTTGCCCAGTTAAAAGATAATACATTGAAGAATTACTCAGTAAATTTTTAATTCCGGTATGCATAATAAGGGAATAAATTTACTCCTTCAAACAATAAAATCTTACATACTTACAATTTTAGTGCAAAAGTGACTTATTTTATAAATCTTTCAATCAATTAACATGAAGTGTTTAAATTATTGATATGAAATTTCTCTCACATACTCCTGATAGTTCATTTCACTCCATTAATTGTTAAAATGGATATAAACACAATCTTCATTATAGGTAATTCACTAAAAAATGGACTAACTATTCATGTTTTTTTTTAATAAATCTAGAAAAAATGTTTGGATTTCCAGGAATTTCCGCTTAAATTTTATCACCAACATTTTTTCTGATATCTAAGCTTTAAGTTGATACCAGATTTGGCTGCGGCTTTTTTCCGGTTTATTATGTTATAGCCGATATACCTTGCAACATTGCCTTGAAAAAATGTGTTTATCTTGGTCCGCGGCTGAATCATGAAGGATTTGCGGCCATAAATCACGGCGCATGGGGGCCCGTTACACTTGTTCTGACACCGTGGACCAAAATAAACAATTTTTGTTCGGACCAATGTTGCAAGGAAAACGTTCTAACATAAAAAAAAAAACGGGCAGAATCGGGCAGCCAAATGTGGTATCAACTTAAAGCTGTGTTAACTATGTTTATTTTTCAGAATTTGGAATATCATATTTTTACAAAGTTGATAGCCTGGTTTTCATCAATAATATAATGTACTATATATAACTGTGAGGAACCTCCCCCCCCCCCCCCCCCCCCCCCCCCCCCGACAAATAATAAAAAGAAAGAAAGAAAGAAAGAAAGAAATAAATCATGAACAGTTATATAATAATGGGTTATTTTTTTGTTTAAAAATATAATTATCGATTCTCAGTTCACTTACTTAACGAATATATATTTGTGACCGATTTTCTACTTTTATTAATATAAAGTTTAACAAATGATGATTTGTTTAACTGAACACATCTGTACCTTAAAACGGCAAAAATAGTAACTGACAACCACCCCTCCCCCGTCCCTAACATTTTATTTGTTTTATATATTAAGTTTTGATAAAATACATACTTAAACAATTCCGATGGTTATGAAAACCTTCTCCGAGTTATCTTAATACACAAAATCGACCACGTAATTTTCCTTTACTGGGTGCAAGCCTAACATTCATTTACAAATTAAAAGAATTCCTAGGAACGGTACGCTAAAAGAAAAAAATGATTTTGTGAGAGAAACACTTTTTCAACTTTCATTCAATCTAATAATACGACTACTAATAATAATAGCCTAATATAGTCCAATCCAAATTTAATTTAAACCGAAACGGAAATTCTTTTTGCCCAATTGATCGTGAGCCCGGCAGCGAAATTTTTATTCCAAAACAGGTTTGCAATTTCTTATATTTCCGTTCTTCTCAATGGCTGATATGTTCTACGTCATTAGCAGCTCGGAAAGAGGTCACAAACAATTATAATTTGATTTTTGATTGCTTTGCCTCACAATTTACAAAGGAAAAAAAACTGAATAAACTAAGACTTGAACCCACAACTCTGAGATTGTATTACGCTGACCTTACCGATTGAGCCAACGATGGGTTGATGAAAAGTGATTCTGAATGATTTCTATAACCCTATCACTCACCCTAACGGTTACGTCATTGCTAATGACGTAACATATCAGCCAATCAGATGACCGGAAATATTAGCATTGGCAGACCTTTATGAGAAAAAAAATTAGCAGCCCGGCAGCCACTGAGCAGCGCCAGATCGACGTTGCTCTATCCCTTATTATTGAACGCCAAACAAGGTAGCAACAACTCCCATCTTTTAACGTCTTTTGGTATGACGCGGCCGGGGTTCGAACCCACGACCTCCCGGTTGTGAGGCGGACGCTCTACTGACTGAGCCAACACTCCGGGGGAAAAATCAATACCTGTTCATGTTTAACGCCACAGCCACACCTTTGCGTATTTGGCTTGCGTATTGCTTCGAATTTATGGCAAACCGTTATAACATTTATTCCCATTTCTTGATATCAAGAAATGTGTAACTGATGCATAGGTAACGTCCTATATAAAATCATGTTCCGATCATATACGTCATTGATTATCATTTTCGCACAATTCAATAGGCCGACGCCCAAAGATACTAATGAAAATACACTTAGATTGTTGTTTTTTCCGAAAGTAGCAGCTACCGTGTAGAGAGCGATTCTCAGCGATAAAGATTGACATTTCCAGAGCATTTTTCAATCTTGAAAGAGAAATATTGCATTCGTTGTAATGAAAGCTAACATAATAATAATAATAACTATATACAAGTACTTATACAACAGCTGGGTGTATTATCAATCATTCATATAATCCATGAAATATTCAAAAGCTTTGTTATGGGACGACTATAACAATGACCTATACGCGATTCTATAGCTTAGCTATATATGAGTTGTTATGATTTTTAATATATTACAGGATTGAAGATTTGTTGATAGCAAACCAAACTGCTGTGGAAATACTTGTCTAAATATATTATATCATTAATATGTAGACTTTTTTAAAATTAAAATACCAATGTTCTTTCACAATCTAAAACTGAAATACACTGGAACTGTTTTTCCTTAACCCTAATAAGGCCGAGGGGCATTACGCCCCCCCCCCCTTCCACATTTTTTATGATTGCTCGGTAACGCATATGGATGGCGCCCTGCCGCTCGCTGACTTTTTTTTTCGATTCTTGCGCAACTTTTAAAAGATTTTTTTTTTGAAAATCGGACCTACGGTTATAAGGTCACGTGACCTTTTGTCTTTGCATGTCAGCCCGAAAATCGCTCATTTTCGTGATTTGTGTACAAAACATATGGAAAAGCCATTTTTCCTAAAAACAGATCAAACATGGGTTATTGGGTCTTGTTTAAAGTTAAGGTGATTCTTTTTTATTCAAAATAGTTGAATTGTTGTAAGAAATGAAATAAAGCAACAAAAAAATAATGATATACA